AAGGAACCCTAGGGGCACAGGTGGGTTAAGTAACAGTCCCGTTGGGTCCCATCAGTCACTGCGGGAGAAAGGTGATGGACGTGGTCTGTGTCTATAAATATTTACAGCCTCAGAAACCCTCTGGATTACTCCACGCTGTCCTGTAGGCCACTATAAGTCTGAAGCAACCTGATGGTGATTGGTAGGTGTTGTGTTTGATGTCCATGTGGACATCAGAGATATTAATGTTAGACCCATTCTAGGCTGATCTCCCTCATGCCATTTAGATCAAGTTCTTTGACCTCGTTTGGCTTCCCTCCAGCCGCCTCATCTCTGAAAGCCAAGATGACAACACTTCCTTTCCCATGGCACAGGCTCTTGAACTTAGCAAGCGCTCCGTGTTGTGTGTCTTTGTTGGTAGCATGTTCATATGTTCCAAAGCTCCTTACCTCGCCTTCTCTTTCCTAAGATGGTGTAAAAAGAAGCCACTGTAAGCCAGTCCCTTGACTACTCCTGGGCCCTTGGCCATAGGCAGAGGAAGAACAGACGTGGATGGTATCAGTTAATTACTCGGGTCATAGATGGGGTGGTAGTCATACCATAAAAATGGAGACGAGCCTCCGTGTGCCCTGTGCGCTTCTTCCTGGTGGGTTGTCGGCACAGGCCTTCTGCTGTCGGAAGCAACCCCGGTCTCAACAGATGGCCTGGGAGGAACGACCACGTTAGTGTTCACCAGAATGCTTAGCCACAGTGGCTCTTTCTTTTTCTGGTTGGGTGGTAAGAGTTTAAAAAAATGTAGCATTACAAAGCATTTCCTATATCCCCTTACCATAATTTAGCAATCCTGTTTGTAAAGGCAATACGGTGTTGCTATCCCATTTTTATTGATAAGAAAACCATCACAGTTAGATAATTTTCCTGAGAAGGTCATAGTATATATTTTTTGAACCCAATACCAAGGGCTTTTGAAGCCCCTCATATTTATCAAAATGCTCTGAAGGTTTTGGAACAGTGTGTAAATTTGCAACATAAGTAAAATGGTAAAGCTAAGTTTATTTTTAAATCTTGATGACTACCTTGTATAGAAAACTATTTTGCGTTCCAATCTCGGGGAAAAGGAAACAAAACTATTGCATTCATGCCATAAAGCCATCATTGTAAGACGTGTGTCGGCAGAAAAGGGAGCGTCTGTTAGTTTTCCAGTGTTGGGCGGAAAGACTGCCGTTGACTTCTCTTCGGAAGATCCGGCGGGCCGTGGATGACAGATCCTGGGGACAGGAAGGCACCCGACATGGAATTGTGGGTGGACTTTACAGAAGGAAGTCTTGTTTTCCACCCTGGGAGGCAGCTGTGGATCCAGTTTGGGGACATTGTGACTAGAAGTAACCTGACTGCTCTAAGTATTTGTGGGCAGACTTTGGAGTGAACGTAACTGTTGGTTTCTTTAGGGCAGTTACCCAGAAATGGGGTTGCTGGGTCTTAGGTTACGGAAGTACTTTGTAAGAAACGGCGACTGTTCCCCAGCGAGATGGTACCATTGTGCGTTCTCATCGGATAGAGAGGGGACTGGCCGTGGCTCAGCATCCTTCTTAGCATTTGCTCTTGTTCTGTTTGTTGGGTGTTTTCGGTCCCTCGTTGAGAGAGAGTGCTCGTATCGTGGTGGCTTTAATTTGCCTTTTCCTGAGTGGTTCACGGTGTTGGACATCTTCTCTTTGCTTCTTTCCCGTGTGTGTGTCTTTTAAATGGAGTGTCTCTTCTGATCTTTCGTCTGTGTGTTTCTTTCAAACGTGGGCTGCTTATTCTCCTAGGGTTAAGTTTCAGACATCTGTATACCTCCCGGGGGCCAGGGTGGGGGGTGAATCTTTGTCAGATTTGAAATTTGAAGATACTTCCCTGCAGACTGCAGCTTGCCACCATTCTCTCTGCTGCCAAGGTGACTGACTGACGAAGCCCGGTTGCGTTTTATGGATCACACTTTTGGTGCCGTAGCTAAAAACTGTATCCCTAATTAACAACGGTTTCTTCCTATGCTTTCTTCCAAAAGCTTTGTGTTTTACACGCAGGTTTCTGATCCTCTTTGAGTTCATTTTATAGAAAATAGGACATTCGGGTTGAGGCTTATGTATTTATTCACTTGTTTTCCTGTGAATATCAAGTGTCCCAACCCCATCAGTGGAAAACACTATCCTCCCTTCAACGAATTGCTTTTGCACCTTTGTCCAGGAAAATCAATGGGCCGTATTTGTGTGGGTCTATTTTGAGAGCCTCCACTCGGCGGCATTGATCCGTGCACGCGCGCCTCTCTCCGCCAGAGCCACACTGTTGTGATTACTGTGGCTTTACAATAAGTCCGACTCTCTTCTCGTTTTTCCAATTTGCTGTAACCCTCCTAGTTCCGTTGCTCTTCCGCATGGCTTTCCGAGTCAGCTCTTGTCTCTGTCCACGACTAAGAATCCTGCTGGGGTTTCAGTGGAACCGCATTGTGTCTGCAGACTAATCTGGGGGGAATTGACCTTGTTACCGTTAAAGATGTTCTGTCCACAAGCACCGTAGGTCTCTGCCGACTTATATTTTCTTTGTTGTTTTTCACCAGTGTTTGCTAGGTTTTTTTGGTTTATCCTGCTCTCTCCCCTCCCACCCCACCCCCCGGCTTTTTTTTTGTTTTTGTTTTTTTGCGCTCATTAGAATTTGTCTTGCGGGATGTTGACCAGAGTGGTGACAGCAGAAACTGCGCTGAACTTGACCCTAACGAAGGAGCACGGTCTCTTCCCATGATGATGAGTTTGGCTGTGGGTGTCCCTGTAGGTGGCATTTTTCAGGTTACAGACATTCCCTTTCAGCCCCAGTGGGCGGAGAATTCTAACCCTGAACGGATGTTGAATTTTGTCAATATCTGTGATGATTGATAATCCTGTGGTTTCCGCCTTGAGATCGTTGCTGTGATGGGATTGCCTAGGGACAGCGTTGGAGAGAACAGAAGAGAAAACCCCGTGAACAAGAGACCCCAAAATGGATAGATAAATTACAACCAAACTGTTGGGTTAGTTACATCGTAGATCTACCCTGTAGAGCAGGCTGGAACGGCCCCTGTGGGTTTCTAAGACTGTAACTTTTTTAGGATGTAGAAAGCAGTATCGTTTCCTGTGGAGCAGCTGGTGGCTTCGAACTGCTGACCTCAAGGTCAGCAGCCCAGTGCATGACCACTATGCCTTGGATGAAGCAGAGGGAGAAGTGATTTCCCCTACTCACCCAGAGCTCTGAGAGGCCTCTCATCTTGCCTTGAGCCGGCAGTAGGGATTTCTGTCCATGACCACGTGTGTCCTTCACTGGACCTCACCTGTGTCGAGGGGAAACATGACAGCCCCCTGCTGGTTTGGTGTCCCTTAGGATTCTGGGCATCTTCAACTCTCTGCTGCTATTAACCTTTCAGAGTCTTAAATTGCTGTGCTATTCATTTTGTTCAGGTTTAACAGCTGCATTCAGTGGTGGAGACAAGATAGAGTGTGCATGCTCCTAGAATTGAAAAGCACACACACCCCTACACACACACACACACACACACACACACACCCCTACACACATACCTCCACACATACCCAGAACAACTCACAAGCATGCTGTTAGAGTAACTTTTAACTTGTCATCTTTAAATTGGCGACATTTGAAGAATTGAGGCTAATTTGAGGTTACATGATGAGTTTAATTACAATACTGATATTTTCTATTTAATCTAAGTGGGAACTGTTGTAAAACAGAACTGGGAGAATATGTTAAACTGACCTCTTGCCTAAGAGTTGACCATCTTTCCCAACATGTTTATTATCATCTGTCTTGAAGCTCTGTTTTAAATTCACATCGAGTTTATGCACTCAGCGTCCACGGGCGTTTCTGCCAGAGGGCTGGACATGGGGCAAGAAGAGACTAGAGGAGAGCTGTGTACCAACCCAAGGGTGTCCTTCCGGGGCAAGGACTCTATGGAACTGGGGCAGGTGCTTGAAAGGACCACGTTGTACTGCAAACAGAGGAACCACCAGCAGGGGGGGCTGTAACCTTGGGTCGGAGGCACACCGGAAGTGGCGGGGCTGTTCCGGCCTTCCATGGATGTCAGAAAGAGCAGGTGTCAGGAACATGCCGCCACTGCTGGAAGGGAACTGGGGACAAAGCTGGAGCGGGGCAATTTTTTTTCCTTTTTGGTGACAATTAATGACATTGTAGAGGAATGAACATAAGCTGCGGGGCATAACAATCGGATGTTATTTTACACATACAATTAAACTATTTGTTTTAGCTCCCCAAGACTTTATGGTCGTTTGCTGTGACCTTATTACCCCTAAGCCTACTGAATAGCCCGTTCCGATGTTGGAATGTCTGAGGCACACCCTGTGAGTGGCACACTTAGCTGGTCGGTGAGTGAGGGCAGGGGAGGCGAAAGGCCCTGTAACTCTAGAACAGTTGTCCGTGTGGCTCTTCACTCCCTTCCTGTGCTTTGCTTTCCACCTCACCAACCTCCGAAGCCCAGTGTGGGGGCCCTAGTGGCGCGGTGGTTAAGCACTTGAGCCGAAAGGTCAGCAGTTGAAGCCTGCTTACTAAAACACTCTTCGGAAGACAAGCGTAGGTGGCTGCTCGCACGGACCTGCACCTGGGGAGCCCGTAGAGGTGTGCACTGGGCTCAGAATCCACGCGACCGCAGCAGGCTCGGGAGGAGGCCGAAGGGCAGCAGGAACAAAATGCAAAGACATGTTTTCAGGGTGCCTTCCCACAAACAACACTGAATTTTTAATGTAAAGAACTGAGGGGTCCCTTCCTAACGTGCTTTTAGGGGGAGGCGGGGGGGACTGCTTTTAAATGTTTCATGGAAAGTGCAAACTGTCCTGCAAGCAGCCCAAGTCCCCTCGGTCTTGAGTCTCTTGTGCTTCATCCTCCAGGACTGCAGGGAAGAAGACTCCGCACAGCGTTTATGCTGCATCTTACACTTGCGCTGGTTTTGTTTAGTTTCTTTTTGTTTTGTTTTGTTTTTCCAGGATCAGAATTCAGGCCATCAATGAAATTGGAGCGGGGCCCTTTAGCCAGTTCATTAAAGCAAAAACTCGGCCGTTACCACCCTCGCCTCCTAGGCTAGAGTGTGCTGCAGCCGGTCCCCAGAGCCTGAAGCTGAAGTGGGGGGACAGTAACGCGAAGACCCATGCCGCCGCCGATGACGTGGTGTACACGCTGCAGCTGGAGGATCGGAACAAGAGGTGAGGCCGCGGCGAGGGTGGAGGCGGGAATGCCGTGGCTGTGTCTCGCGCGACACAGTGGCATCTGCTCCCTTCTCCTCGGAAGCATCATTCCACGCTGCTAAAGTCTCTCTGTGCTGGGGGGGTCCTGCATTTTAGACCCAAGCACTGTTAGCCCTCCATTTTCCATTTGGAGTCTCTAAACGAAACATTCTGAAAAATCCTAGCTTTTCCCTCCATGTGTGAGGTATTGTTGTATGTGTGTGATTTATGGGCCTCTCCCCACCCCCACCCCCACTTCTTTCCTTTTCCTAAAGCCAGACAATGGAGCGAGAACATCTGAAAGGAAAATGGTCACATTCAAGACCATGCTATGTCGTAGGATCCAATTAGTCACAGGAGCAGAGGAAAACAAGACTTGGGGAGTGATGTTCCCTCTTTAAATATTCAGGAACCATTCAGGACAAACATGTTTACCCATCTGAAATCAGTGTGGGTGATGTACAGATGGGGATTGTTCTCTGTAACTGTGGGCAATGCGATATCAAATTAGCCAGAGCCGGGAGCAGATTCTTTATAAGGCTCCCTGCCCAGGAAACACTCTTGGCTCTAGAAATCAACCCCAGCCTTTCGCTTAGTATTTTTTTTTTT